GCATCACTGTGGACTGAGTCATGGTAGTTTCTCATCACTATAAGCATCACTGTGGATTGAGTCATGGTAGTTTCTCATTCTCTTACTCAGTAACTTGTGACGAACTCCTGACTGGTGCTGAGTGTGACCGCTATGTCCCCGTCCCAAACTAGAGGGGAATCAATAGAGAGATGGATTACAGACAGACATGCTGACAATGAATGCTATTTTATTCTTTGAGGAGGAACCTAATCTCAGTCATGAGTGATATTTCCAAAAGTGTATTTTCAGACATATCCTCTGATGGTTCCATTAGAATCTTTACAACTACAGGAGCCTGCATACTGTTTAGAATGTTTATGAATGAACTTGACACAATTTTCCATTTTAACGACAAATATAGGTATCTAGTCCATGCCTTTTGTTGAACTTTTTGTTGAACTTTTTTAGTCTTACATATTATATCATAACTATTGATCTGTTTAGGATTTCCCCATCTTTTGTTAAAATTTATATATATTTCTCCTGTCCTGTAATGTCTTTGTGTCAGACCTAAGATAAGATGAAAATCTCATCATATGTGCAGTTTCCACCTTGTTTGCCAAAGACACGCACGCACGCACAATGCAAATAGTCTGAGTAGCCATTTGATTAGATGTTCAGGAGTCTTATGGCTTGGGGGTAGAAGCTGTTAGAAGCCTCTTGGACCTAGACTTGGCGCTCCGGTCCCCACTTGCCGTGTGGTTGCAGAGAGAACAGTCTATGACTAGGGTGGCTGGAGTCTTTGACCATTTTTAAGGCCTTCCTCTGACACTGCCTGGTATAGAGGTCCTGGATGGCAGGAAGCTTGGCCCCAGTGATGTACTGGGCCGTATGCACTACCCTCTGTAGTGCCTTGCGGTTGGAGGCCGAGCAGTTGCCATACCAGGCAGTTATGCAACCCGTCAGGATGCTCTCGATGGTGCAGCTGTAGAACCTTTTAAGGATCTGAGGACCCATCCAAAATCTTTTCAGTCTCTTTAGGGGGAATAGGTTTTGTCGTGGTGTTCTTGGACCATGTTAGTTTGTTGTTGATGTGGACACCAAGGAACTTGAAGCTCTCAACCTGCTCCGCTCCAGCCCCATCGATGAGAATGGGGGCGTGCTCGGTCCTCTTCTTTTTCCCGTAGTCCACAATCATCTCCTTTGTCTTGATCATGTTGAGGGAGAGATTGTTGTCCTGGCACCACACGGCCAGGTCTCTGACCTCCTCCTATAGGCTGTCTCGCCGTTGTTGGTGATCAGGCCTACCACTATTATGTAATCTGCAAACTTAATAATGGTGTTGGAGTCGTGCCTGGCCAAGCAGTCATGAGTGAACAGTGAGTACAGGAGGAGACTGAGCACGCACCCCTGAGGAGCCCCTGTGCTGAGGATCAGCGTGGCGAATGTGTTGTTACCTACCCTTACCACCTGGGGGCGGCCCATCAGGAAGTCCAGGATCCAGTTGCAGAGGGAGGTGTTTAGTCCCAGGGTCCTTAGCTTAGTGATGAGCTTCGAGGGCACTATGGTGTTGAACGCTGAGCTGTAGTCAATGAATAGCATTATCACATAGGTGTTCCTTTTGTCCAGGTGTGAAAGGGTAGTGTGGCGCACAATAGAGATTGCATCATCTGTGGATCTGTTGGGGCGATATGCAAATTGGAGTGGGTCTAGGTCGTCTGGGTTAATGGTGTTGATGTGAGCCATGACCAGCCTTTCAAAGCACTTCATGGCTACAGACGTGAGTACTACATGTCGGTAGTCATTTAGGCAGGTTACCTTAGTGTTCTTGGGCACAGGGACTATGGTGGTCTGCTTGAAACATGTTGGTATTACAGACTCAGACAGGGAGAGGTTGAAAATGTCAGTGAAGACACTTTCCAGTTGGTCAGCGCATGCTCGGAGTACACGTCCTGGTAATCCGTCTGGCCCTGCGGCCTTGTGAATGTTGACCTGTTTAAATGTCTCACTCACATCGGCTACGGAGATCGCGATCACACAGTCGTCCGGAACAGCTGATTCTCTAATGCATGTTTCAGTGTTACTTGCCTCGAAGCGAGCATAGAAGTAATTTAGCTTGTCTGGTAGGCTCGTGTCACTGGGCAGCTCGCGGCTGTGCTTCCCTCTGTAGTTTGCAAGCCCTGCCACATCCGACGAGCGTCGTAGCCGGTGTAGTATGATTAGATCTTAGTCCTGTATTGACGCTTTGCCTGTTTGATGGTTCGTCGGAGGGCATAGCGGGATTTCTTATAAGCTTCCGGGATAGAGTCCCACTCCTTGAAAGCGGCAGCTCTACCCTTTAGCTCAATGCGGATGTTACCTATAATCCATGGCTTCTGGTTGGGGTATGTACGTACAGTCACTGTGGGGACGACGTCATCGATGCACTTATTGATGAAGCAAGTGACTGATGTGATGTTCTCCTCAATGCCATCGCACGAATCCCGGAACTTATTCCAGTCTGTACTTGCAAAACAGTCCTGTAGCTTAGCATCTGCTTCATCTGACCACTTTTTATTGACAGAGTCACTGGTGCTTCCTGCTTTAAGTTTTGCTTGTAAGCAGGAATCAGGAGGATAGAATTATGGTCAGATTTGCCAAATGGAGGGAGAGCGAGGGAGAGCTTTGTATGCGTCTCTGTGTGAGGAGTAAAGGTGGTCTAGTTTTCCTCTGGTTGCACATTTAACATGCTGGTAGAAATTAGGTAAAACTGATTTAAGTTTCCCTGCATTAAAGTCCCTGGCCACTAGGAGCGCTGCCTCGCGATGATCGTTTTCCTGTTTGCTTATGGCCGTATACAGTTCATTGAGTGCTGTCTTAGTGCCAGCATCGGTTTGTGGTGGCAAATAGACAGCTACAAAGCATATAGATGAAAACTATCTTGGTAGATAGTGTGGTCTACAGCTTATCATGAGATACTCTACCTCAGGCGAGCAAAACCTTGAGACTTCCTTAGATATCGTGCACTAGCTGTTGTTTACAAATATACATAGACCGCCATCCCTTGTCTTACCAGAGGCTGCTGTTCTATCCTGCCGATACAGTGTATAACCCGCCAGCTGTATGTTATTCATGTCTTCGTTCAGCCACGACTCAGTGAAACATAAAATATTACAGTTTTTAATGTCCCGTTGGTAGGATATTCATGCCTGTAGTTCGTCCACTTTATTATCAAGCGATTGTAAATTGGCCAATAGTATCGATGGCAAAGGCAGATTAGCCACTCGTCGCCGGCTCCTTACCAAGCACCCCGATCTCCTTCCGCGATATCTCCTTTTCTTTCTACTGTGAATGACAGGGATGAGGGCCCTGTCGGGTGTCTGGAGCAAATCCCTCTCGTCCGACTCATTAAAGAATAATGATTAGTCCAGTTCAAGGTGAGTAATCGCTGTTCTGATGTCCAGAAGCTCTTTTTGGTCATAAGAGACGGTAGCAGCAACATTATGTACGAAATAAGTTACAAACAATGCGAAAAAACACACAAAATAGCACGGTTGGTTAAGAGTCCATAAAACGGCAGCCATCCCCTCCGGCGCCTTGCTAATGTCATCAAACACATGTTTCCATGTTTTCAATACCATTCCATTTACTCCATTCCAGCCATTATTATGAGCCGTCCTCCCCTCAGCAGCCTCCTGTGCTCAATAATCAATCTTCCCTGGCAGACATTCTGAATGACGGTTGTAGGTGATTAAAAGTTCAAATTGTTGGATATCCTCACTCAGGCTGGATTGCAATAGAAATTGCACATCACTTTGCAAGCCAGCATAATGTGACTTGCAGGCTTGATGTGACCTGTAAACCAGGAGTTTCAGACCACTGTGTTAGGGTGTATCTAGGCCCTCAAAGAAATGCCTTATGATATATGTATTGTCATAAAGAGTTTAATTTGAAAGATAACATGTTCACTTAAACACTTGGTGAAGGCTACAGTACTGAAAACATTGAATACAACAACCATGTCTCTGTCACTAACAAATACATCAATAGGTGGTAACTACAATTCACTCGAAAAGGTACTCTGGGAAATATGCGAATAAGGTAGAATAAATTCTCCCACTGACCTACTCAGGGTTGATTTTGCACATTGCTTTTGACATGGAGATGCCCTGCAGGCCAATGCCCTCAGAGAGTTTGATTTGGCATAAAAAACATGTTGTTATCTTGAAAAAAACACGTTTGCCATGCCCATGAAAAACACGATGCACATGAGGATGGTCCAGAAAGTGATTAGTAAAGTCTGGAAGTTATAACCACAATTAACGTTTCATTTTATTTTATTTTTTGCAAATTAGACATCAATGTCTATGTCCCACTTTAGTGATTGGATTGGGCTAGTATTATTTATTTTGAACAAACATTACACAGTTTACAGCAGGCATCTGGATATTTATTTTGAAGCCCAATATGTGTATCATTGACCATATCTAGATAACAAACAATATGAAAATAGATAATATCGTACCCTCTGCTGAATCAATAAGAGGGGATTTGATGAGATCCTACTACTGTGGGAATAAGCAGGTAGCTTAGTGGTTAAGAGCGTTGTGCCAGTAACCGAAAGGTTGCTGGTTCTAATCCCCGAGCCGACTAGGTGAAAAATCTGTCGATGTGCCCTTGAGCAAGGCACTTAACCCTAATTGCTCCTGTAAGTCGCTCTGGATAAGAGCGTCTGTTAAATTACGAAAAAAGTGGATAGAGTTTGGGGCTTTACAGAAAGCATGCATTGTCAACGGGAGATTTACACACAAAAATGGATTCAGCTCTGAATGGGACTGCTGATAATTTTTCCTGGTGAAAATGCAGCAGTTTATTGCTTTATGATGTTGTCTGTCATGCACATCATTACTCTGCACTACTGTTAATCATCATTTACTGCATTTCTTCCTGCTGGTTTGCCAGATATGTAGAGTCAATGCATACCCCCTTTTCCCACCATGCAGTTGTTATCCCGATAAGGATCCAGTCTTCGTTTACTCAGGGCTGGTGGGTACAGAGATCATTTCATGTGGACATGAGAGAACAAAGAGGTCTGCTGTGGATTTTGCATTGTAAGTATTGACAGAATTAGCACAACTTTGGAAAGAAGGAACATATATCGAATCATATTAATAATAGATGTGTCTTAAATCTAAACTTTTTAGCTAAATGTATTTTATGAACAATATACTGTCTAAAAGGAACTACTTTTTTTAAACTGAGTGTTCTGGTGTAAAACACTAAAGTAATAGTAGTTATGTTGTGGGAAGTGCAGTAGAAGACTGTGGAGTCAAAATGATCACCTTCCTTAGCAGTTCCTTTGTCTCACTTCTAGAATAACAGAAAAAAGGAGAGTGACAACCTTCAATATTAACCCTCTCTTCTAGATTGACCAATCAGGAGTGACAACCTTCATTGTTTAATCCTCTCTTCTAGATTAACCAATCAGGAGTGACAACAATGACAGCATCAGTCGTCCTCTCTCCCCTGGTGTTCCTGGGTCTCCTGGCTCTGTCTCACCTGGATGGAGAGTTCACCTGTCGTCTAGGGACTCCAGAAGAATGTGCTAATTGTTCCTTTGTGCCTGGCTACAAACTGGCTGGGATGGGCTATGATATTGTAACATTGAGACAAAAACGGGCCTCTGTGTTTGATGTCAATAGTTACTTGGCTAACTCCTGCACGGTTTGTGTGAACCCACTTATGGGAGGTCAGCTTCAGAAACTCCCCCTGCATATGAAGGACTGGAGGGCCGAAAGTGACTGCAAGAGGAAGACTTTGAGTTCCTACTATTACTCTGTCAGCTCTCTTGTAGATGATATAGCCTTCTCTGTAGAGAATGACTGGAAGGCTGGGCTAAAACTGGAGAACATAGACCTGCAGTTAGCAGGCAGCAAGTCCAAGGTGCACGGCTTTGCATCCTCACACTCAAATGCAGACAAGTCTTCCTTCTCCTTTCAGCAGTTGACCTGCTCTGTCTACAGGTCAGGCCATGTACCATGATGTTTGTGAGGTCATGTATATTTAAATTATAAGAGCTTGAAGCAATTGTCCAGCGCTCTCAGCATACTTCAGCCATAATATGGCTTTTGAAACGCTTCATAGTTTGCCGTTTCCTAGAGACCAATAATTTATACATAGTTCCTCCTTGGATTATTTTATCCCATCAACAACTTCAATATACTTTTGAAAGTTTTCCTTTTTTTTTAGCATTCACTTGGCAACTTATAAGCAAGGGTCCACAGCTCTGGTCCTTGAGGGTCACAGTCATGCATATTTTCAGCATGACCTTTTATTTAAAAGAGACATCATTTCCAGGGTGCGACCAGATGTGCTCTCCAGCCAATCAGTAATAGTAATTAATATTAATTGATCAATTACGTACCAGGGAGAAATGAAAATCAGCAGGACTGTGCAACTGCAGGGCCTGAATTGTGCCCCGTGTTCTATAGGAGATTTGTACATTTCTTATAGCTAACTAAAACAAAGTTCCCAGTTAACGGCCACTCTAACCCTCTTTTAGTTTCAGTGTGCCTGCTAAACCCCCACTTAGCCTGGATTTCCAGCGGCGCATAGCTTCTCTGCCACAGGATTACACATCCAACAGTGAGGCGTACAAGGACATCATTGATACCTACGGAACCCACTACGTCAGTGATGGGGGCCTCGGGGGGATGATGAAGAGGGTGACTGCCATTCGCACCTGTCTAGCAACCCTAAACAAGGTCTTTGTGTCCGATGTGGAAACATGTCTGGGTATGGGGTTGGAATTGGACGTGCCTGTAGGACTGCCCATAGACTTAGGGGGGGATTTTTTGGGTGGACAATGTTCGAAGGTCGCTACCAACTCTGACAGTGCAACAGGGTATAGCATGGGCTTCTTAAGCCACCACACGGAAGTGAACGGTGGGAAAACCTTAAATGGAGTAGCTTCTATGAGAAAAGCTAATGTAGATAGTTTCTTGAAATGGATGAAAAGTGTAAATGAGTTGCCAGAAATGGTATCCTTCTCCCTGCAGCCTCTGCATCAACTGGTTGATGACAATCAGACGAGCGCTGATCTACAAACAGCTATCAGTCAGTACGTGATCAGCAAAGGGATTAAGAGAAAAAAGACAGAGCATCAAACATGTAGGGGTTCACCCAACCTCTCTGCTGATTGCTGCCCCCTGTTGGCAGGGAGAGGCAGTCTAACAGTCTTTGTGGACCGTGGGCTCAGTCTGAGGGGTGACGGGATGGCTAAACCAGAGGGTTACGTCAAACTGTGGTGTTCAGGTCAGTACAGGCAGACCCGCTGGATCACTACCTATGATCCACTTTGGCATACACATTTTGACTTTGGCTATGTAAACACCCATTCCTCTCTAGAGCTCCAGGTGTGGGACAAGCACTCAGGAGAACGTGAAGATGACCACCAGGGTGGGTGTTCTGTAAACCTGGAGCAGGGGAGCCACGGGCATAGCTGTGGACTCAGTCACGGGAGTTTTGTATTCTCTTACACATTAACTTGTGACAAACACCTGACTGGTGATAAGTGTGACCAATACTACCCCTCCCCAAACTAGAGGGGGAATCAATAGTGAATAATCACAGTTAATCCAGAACTAAAATCTTGTGTGATTTGTTACGTATTCTGTCCACGAGAGATTAATAGCGACAGATTGCAATGGGATGATAATATACACTACTGTTTAAAAGTTTGGGGTCACTTAGAAATGTCCTTGTTTTCGAAAGATCAGCAGTTTATTTGTCCATTAAAATAACATAAAATTGATCAGAAATACAGTGTAGACATTGTTAATGTTGTAAATGGCTATTGCAGCTGGAAACTGCAGATTTTTTTGGGAATATCTACATAGGCGTACAGAGGGCCATTATCAGCAACCATCAGTCCTGTGTTCCAATGGCACGTTGTGTTTCCTAATCCAAGTTTATCATTTTAAAAGGCTAATTGATCATTAGACAACCCTTTTGCAATTATGTTAGCATAGCTGAAAACTGTTGTGCTGATTAAAGAAGCAATAAAACTGGCCTTCTTGAGACTAGTTGAGTATCTGGAGCATCAGCAATTGTGGGTTCGATTACAGGCTCAAAATGGCCAGAAACAAAGAACTTTCTTCTGAAACTCGTCAGTCTATTCTTGTTCTGAGAAATGAAGGCTATTCCATGCGAGAAATTGCCAAGAAACTGAGGATCTCGTACAACGCTGAGTACTACTCCCTTCACAGAACAGTTAATTAACGGGCTCTAACCAGAATAGAAAGAGGAGTGGGAGGCCCCGGTGCTCAACTGAGCAAGAGGACACATACATTAGAGTGTCTAGTTTGAGAAACAGACGCCTCACAGGTCCTCAACTGGCAGATTCATTAAATAGTACCCGCAAAACACCAGTCTCAACTTCAACAGTGAAGAGGCGACTCTGGGATGCTGACCTAGGCAGAGTTGCAGAGAAAAAGTCCAGCGTCTGTGTTCTTTTGCCCATCTTAATATTTTATTTTTATTGGCCAGTCTGAGATATGGCTTTTTCTTTGCAACTCTGCCTAGGTCAGCATCCCGGAGTCGCCTCTTCACTGTTGACGTTGAGACTGGTGAGTGTTTTGACACACTGCCCCTGTTACTGAGTATGGTCCTGCACCAGTTACTCAACGCTGAGGCGTCCAGCAGCCCCAGACCAACAGAGAGCCCTGAAAGCACACCACAGGAGGCTGGTGGCACCTTAATTGGGGAGGACGGGCTTTGTTGTAGTGGCTGAAGCGGAATAGGTGGAATGGTATCAAATACATCAAACACATGGTTTCCATGGTTTCCAGGTGTTTGATGCCATTCTATTTGCTCCGTTCCAGCCATTATTATGAGCTGTCCTCCCCTCAGTAGCCTCCTGTGACGTACACAGTTCCTCACCTCATAGACAGACACCTTGTTGAGGGAAGCCAGGCAGGTGCGGACGGAGGTCACTCTCTTCAGCCCTCCTCCCAGTGTCGCCTGAGGAAGTTAGATTTAAAAAAAAAAATTTAACGTATAAAATGTCTCTCCACAAAATATAGATTTTAAAAAACATATTGTGGAAAACTCAAATAGAGTTTTGAGACACTAAAAGCAGTCATGGTACAGTATTTCACTTGGAGTGACCACCTGAGGGATGTAGTGTGTGCCGTTGGTGGTGATGAAATGCTGGTACATGCGGAGAGTGGTTCTGTTGAGCCTCTGGGGATGGACAGCGCCTCCTGGTGGAAGTCAGGGTGTAGAGGAGGATTGCTGAAGAGACAGTAGCTGAAAAACAGGAAAATTAGGGTGAAAAAGTGAGATCAATGACTGTAAACACGCTGTAAACATGCTGTAAACACGCTGTAAACACGCTGTAAACATTCTGTAAACACGCTGTAAACACGCTGTAAACACGCTGTAAACATGCTGTTAAACATGCTGTAAACACGCTGTAAACACGCTGTAAACATTCTGTAAACACGCTGTAAACACGCTGTAAACATGCTGTAAACATGCTGTAAACATGCTGTAAACATGCTGTAAACACGCTGTAAACACGCTGTAAACATGCTGTAAACATGCTGTTAAACATGCTGTAAACATTCTGTAAACACGCTGTAAACACGCTGTAAACACGCTGTAAACACGCTGTAAACATTCTGTAAACACGCTGTAAACACGCTGTAAACATGCTGTAAACATGCTGTAAACATGCTGTAAACATGCTGTAAACATGCTGTAAACACGCTGTAAACACGCTGTAAACATGCTGTAAACACGCTGTAAACACGCTGTAAACATGCTGTAAACATGCTGTAAACATGCTGTTAAACATGCTGTAAACAAATCTTTCAAAAAAATACATCCTACTGTTAAATCAACTTCTGTCACAAATTCTTATAACAAACACGTATCTCTGCTCACACATCCAGCTAGCGCTATTCTCTGATTCTACAGACTATGACACGTGATCCTACTGTAGTAAGTCTCCCGAGTAGATCCTTACTACAGTAGATCCTACTGTAGTAAGTCTCCCGAGTGGCGCAGTGGTCTAAGGCACTGCATCGCAGTGTTAACTGTGCCACCAGAGATCCTGGTTCGAATCCAGGCTCTGTCGCAGCCGGCCGCGACCGGGAGACCCATGGGGCGGCGCACAATTGGCCCAGCGTCGTCCAGGGTAGGGGAGGGAATGGCCTGCAGGGATGTAGCTCAGTTGATAGAGCATGGCGTTTGCAACGCCAGGGTTGTGGGTTTGATTCCCACGGGGGGCCAGTATAAAATAAAAATAAAATAAAAATAAAAAATAAAAAAAGATCTATTCGCTAACTGTAAGTCGCACTGGATAAGAGCGTCTACTAAAATGTAAATGTAAATGTAGAGCAGCCGAGTTGTTACAGTGAGAAGAGGGACTTACAGAGGAGTGTAAATGCTTTTTTTAGGCTGGATCGTGTTGTTGAATGTTTTAATTCTGTAATGTATGGATTGTTGCTGCCTTCTTGGCCAGGTCTCCCTTGAAAAAGAGACTCTGGGTCTCAATGGGCTTTTCCTGGTTAAATAAAGGTTAAATAAAAATATATAAATATAAAACAGGTCAAAAAGGTAAGACCGTCAGTACAAGCAGGTAGCTTAGTGGTTAAGAGCGTTGTGCCAGTAACCGAAAGGTCGCTGGTTCTAATCCCCGAGCCGACTAGGTGAAAAATCTGTAGATGTGCCCTTAAGCAAGGCACTTAACCCTAATTGCTCCTGTAAGTCGCTCTGGATAAGAGCGTCTGCTAAATAATGTAAATGTAATAATTAAAACAGATAATTATAGACTGACAGGTGCAAAACTACTTAATTAAATCTGGTACTTAAACATACATGGTTAACTCCTGTTTCTCTTCCCGAAGGGAATGCATCTGCGTCACCCCGCACATACAATCATGTTTATTACGTATCAATTAATATCAACACTAAATCAAATACAGGGAAAGAATTACTCAAATAATTTCCCATTACACAGACAAACACATATGATCTGTAACACAATGTCCTGTCATTCCATTAATAACCACAATCATTCAAGTCACCAATCTACAAAACTTTTGAAGCATTTGTAAGGTAATTTACCGGAAAAGTGTTTCACCTTTTTTTGGTGGATTTGAACTACAGACCTAAAATATAAATCTTGCTTGATGTCTGTCTTAATACTCGCCTTCAACTATTTACAAACTGATGATTTCTTCTCCTCTCCTTACCTTTTTAAGGAAGTGGTTATCAGCTCACCTCAATGGGTTGGCTTTTGCAGGGAACGTGAGTGCCAGTTTATTATGGTTGGGCTGAATGCTACAGGCAATACTCAATCTGTCACAGACATTTTTAGTTCACAACAACAAACATTTAGCTGAAATCAACATATTACGAATTGCTTTGGATGCAAATATTTATTTTATTAAAGAATACAAGTCATAATACAAATTAGTTGTTAACAGCATAATGATACAAGTGACTCAAAGGATTAAGGATTGTAATTATATTTTACATAGAATATGCTAATATAATATGCATGTCGTAAATTCTCCTAAGCCTTTATTAGGAAATGACAATTAATCCATGACTTTTTCCACATTGTGTTGTGTTACAGCCTGAATTTAAAATGGATGAAATTGAGATTTTTTTGTCACTGGCCTACACTCAATAACCCATAATGTCAAAGTGGAATTATGTTTTTTTGATTTTTTTTACAAATTAATAGAAAATTAAAATATGAAATGTCTTGGAGTCAATAAGTATTCCACCCCTTTGTTATATCAACCCTAAATAAGTCCAGGAGTAAAAATGTGCTTAACAGGTCACATAATACGTTTTATAGACTCACTTTGTGTTCAATAATAGTGTTGAACATGATTTTTGAATGACTACCTCATCTCTGTACCCCACACATATAATTGTCTGTAAGATCCCTAAGTCAAGTAGTGAATTTCAAACAAAGATTTAACCACAAAAACCATGGAAGTTTTCCAGTGCCTCGCAAAGAAGGGCACCTATTGGTAGATTGGTAAAATAAAATAAAACAGACATTGAATATCCCTTTGAGCATGGTGAAGTTATTCTTACACATTGGATGGTGTACCAACACACCAGTCACTATAAAAGATACAGGCATACTTCTTAACCCAGTTGCCGGAGAGGAAGGAAATCGCTTAGGGATTTCACCATGAGGCCAATGATATGACTTTAAAACAGTTACAGAGTTCAATGGCTGTGATAGGAGAACACTGAGGATGGATCAACAACATTGTAGTTACTCCTCATTACTAACCTAATTAGAGTGAAAAGAAGGAAACCTGTACATAATCAAAATATTCCAAAACGTGCATCCTGTTTGCAACAATGCACAAAAGTAATACTGCAAAAAATGTGGCAAAGCATTTAACTTTTTGCCCTGAGTACAAAGTGTTAGGTTTGCCCCAAACCTAATACAACACATTACCAAGTACTGCTCTCCATATTTTCAAGCATAGTGGTGACTGCATCATGTTATGGGTATGCTTGTAATCGTTAAGAACGGGGGAGTTTTCAGGATAAAAAATAAACGTAATAGAGCTAAGCACAAGCAAAATCCTAGAGGAAAACCTGGTTCAGTCTGCTTTCCACCAGACACTGGGAAATTAATTCACCTTTCAGCAGGACAATAACCTAAAACACAAGGCCAAATCCACACTGGAGTTGCTTACCAAGAAGACAGT